TTAATTTAACTTTCAAGTAGTGTACCTATGTTTTCGAGCGACTTCTAAAAATAAATATCAACGACCTAATAATTTTTTTTTATTGAATTTGATGTACAAAAAAGGATAGAAATAAATCACGAAACATTTAAATTTTAAAAAACTAAAAAATTATAAATATTTGATACAGTGCGGTAGTAAATTTTGCCCCGAAAAATTTTTTAAGTGTCTCGTGATTTATTTCTATTTTTTTGTTCATCAAATTCAATAAAAATAAATACTAATAAAAAAATATTAGTTCTTTGATATTTATTTNTCCCAGGCTTCCTAGCATTGAGTTGTCTGTCGAGATTTCTAGAATTGCAAGTTGGGCTTAAAATGAGATTCATGTACTCACCGAATTGGATCGCATAGATTTCCTTATCTTAGATTTCACTTTGTTTTATGTATAAATTGCTCTGTGAATTTGAATACACTTATCTCGCGAATATATTCCCCAGCCAAATATTCCATTATATTTTATATGTATGCATGGCTGTAGTCGTACCAGCAGATAATAGTGGTTCAGATATGTTTGTACAAATTTCGTGGCTTGAAACAAATCGCAAATTATCGACAGACCGAGCTCTTCAATTACCCACGTAATTATTTCTCTCCTAAAGTTTAATAAAATTGTTTTTAATTCTCTTCTCGGCATCGTAGTAGAAGTGCTTCCGCTGAAAATTATTTTTTGTGTCGTTAGTGCTTGAGATAAAATTACAGTTCGAAATATTCCTATTAATTAGAGATGGTAGTGCCTCCTAAGTATTAAATGTCATTAAGGGTTTTAGACAAAAAAAGTTATTTTTAAATTATTCAATTTGAGCCAGTTTACAGTTAGGTACAGTTTATGTATGATAGCATGGTCTTGAGTTACAGAGATTTTCTTTGCTCTGTTCTCATTACAATTTATCGGGGACCACACGCATGCGGCAAATGTTGAGCGACCCAGGTCTCTGGTAGGCTGCCACAGCCACGTCCGCGAGCCTGCCTTAGGTCACCCATCCAAATTCCAGCCTGCGTCCGTGATGCTTACCTCGGCAGATCGAAATCCACCGGCCAAGACACCCGGCTAGGCGGACCTAAGACACTACCATACAACAAGACTAATCACAAGTCTCGAAATTAATAGTGATTAGCCTCTATGGTTGAACTTTCAAAAATCAAGTAATACTTAGTTAAACTTCGATGATAAGGTAGAAATAGGTCTGGATCACCAGTATCGTGCACTAATTGAACCAATATGATTCTGGAGTAGATACATGGTATAAGCTGCTAGGTTCGAATGATTTGTGTTCTTGGGAAGCAACACGACTCTATTTGTAGGTAGCTGAAGTACATGCAATTGCCCTTTGTCTTCGGTAGAGAACATAAGGGTAAAGAGAACCTTGTCTACTCAGTCGGGCAGCAGTAAAAGCTCTGGCAAGAGCAAAACTGGTCTGGAGCTACTTCCAAATTCTTTTTGCCGTAGCTAGGCCCATTTATTTAGGGCCCCGTTAATGCTGTCTCGTGTGATACCTAAGATTGGTTCAGGTCCCTGTCCGGGTCCCCTGGACCCGAAACGAGCTAATTGATCCTCCCTCTCGTTACCAGAGATACCTATATGGCCTGGGACCCAAACCAACTCTACTTCTTTTCGTCTGGTTAATGACTAGAGCGTGTCCACATTTCTGGACAAGGACAGACCTAGTCCTCGGGGAGCTAACCGCTCTGAGTGCGGCCTAACTGTCGGAGCAGATAACAATCTTCTCCTCTGCAAAACTGATAGTTTCACTCATAAAATTTTAGTTGTGCATACTCGTACTAATAGAGGAAAATTTCATCCAAACGATTGGACAAAAATTGATACATTATTGATTGAAAATGAGTGAATATAATTTTTCTTATAGTGTAATGCAATGTAACTACTTTTGGGTAGTTATAGTTCTAAATCATTTAATACATTCTTTAACTATGTTTTCAATTTACTAGTATATCGCAAAGTAACAAGGAAATATATGATATTACTTGCATGTAAATTGTTTGGGAATTATACATTTTGGACCCGTTTTTTGCAAAGCCTTGACACGTTTGTCTTTGGGGGAATTATCGAATATTCAACGATATTCAAATCACTCTGTTATCCGAGTCCTTAATCATTAAATTCGTCATTCAAATAATCTTTTTAGTTTCAGAACTGCCGCGAAGTCAATCTATAAATCAACTACTTAAATTCTTTCGAGTATTCCTTCCGATTTTCCGCTCCACTTTAACCCGTATTTTCACACATTTAAATCAATCTTTGCTCTTTCTCCTTTTATATCTCGTTTCGATCCAGTTACAATGTGAATTAAATTTTTAGTAAAAATTGCCAGAGGAATTAAAATAGCAATTGTGAATGCGCCTTGATAAATTAAAATGTCGTAAAGTTTAAAATTAAAAGTGGTGAATAAATGAATACAAAAGCGAAATATTCCGGGGTGTAGTACCTGAAATATGGGGTAACCAGCAGGCTTATAATATTACCTGTCGTAATTTTGCAGTTATAGCAAAGTTGGAGCGTCGAATTAGTTTGAGAGTTTATAATTAAAAAACTTTGGTATTGAAATAGTAGGACACCCTTGTGACGTAAACATCGATACAAGGACAAGAATTGTACAGGTAGTCGTGCTCGATGAAAATCGAATTAAACCCAATATGGACTGTCAAATAATCAGCTCATTCGTTGGCCGTAATTTAATTTGGCTCGCCCTCTTTTATATAGAAAAGCTTTTTGGGTGCCGTTGGTTAGGGAAATTTGGGAACGAAAATTGCATAAATCACAGAGTGTCATTTAAGGGCGTAGCAGGAAATGAGTAAAAGTGAAAACAGTTAATAACGTTAATCTGGAATTTCAAGAGCATCCCAGTGAAATACGAGATAATCATGGAATTATTGCTAAGAGTAATGGAGGAAGTTACAAACATCCAGAAGGAATCAGGAAGCAAATGAATTCAAATGGAATTTACGAAAAATGAAGTACATTTACCAAATATACTTATTTTATTTATTTGTTTTGAATAGGCAATAATAATTATATTAAAACAACTCAGGACTGATTCATTTCGCACAAAGTAAGATTAGTTTAATTAATCTATTAAATTTAGTTTCACAGGTGACACACTCAAATAAATAGAGAAAAACTAAAATTATACAAGAAATAAATAAATTCAAGCAATGTATATACCAATTTTACATAGCTATGTTATTCCTCCCTACTGATGTAGTTGAAATCAGCAATGACAATTTAACAAAACTGCAAGGTGGGTTCTAAAATAAACAGGACTTTTTGAAAATGATAAATAATACTTGATTAATTAATTAATTCATTAATTAATTAATTAATTAATTAATGAGTTAGTTAATTAAGTTAATTTTATTAACACGGCGCTTTTTACATTGGTGGTCACTAATTGGCTAGCTGGTCCTTGACTGGTTTCTTTGCAGCTGGGATCGCCGGAATTTTATATGGTGGTCAAACTCTAAGGTGGTTCATTGAAGTATTGGAATGTCAATGAAATTAAACACATAATTTTGGTTAGATAGATGAAGTTAGATGTTCGTCTAACTAAATACGGAAAATTTAAATGTATGTCACAACTCGGCATTGAAATATTTGAAAAACTTGTTCCCATATTTATTTAGCCATACCCATATACAGGTCTGGTCGAACTAAACGTGCAGGTGGTAGAAACGTATGCGCCCAGTTGAAGAATGAGCGTGCAGGCAAACAGCAATACGCACTGTTGCTCTGGTCGACTGCGTCATAAATTTCAGTTGTCGACAAGTCGCCTGGCAGTGCAGTGCAGCAATGCGGAATTTGGTGTGAATACAATTGTTTTAGGACATAAATAATTAAAATATGTTGTTGGTCAAATGAACATATAATAGAAAATTTCTACACATTATATACAAATTATGATAATTTTTTAGGACGCCCATGAAACTCATTAAATTTGATTGCTCGGTTTTTTTATACATGTTCAACTGACTTCGGAAAGACTATAATGGAGAATTTTCAAGAGAAAAATTCACTGGTCACCCTGTACAAACGGTCGAGTTACGCGGATCACCCTGTACGTATGAATAAAACATGTAAAATTTGTCACAGAACCGTGTCGTACTAATCGAGGGTGTGGCCCGAACCATTAATGGGAAGACTAATCTGTAAGCATGTTTAATTTTTAGTGATGGGCACAACGCTGCATGTTGCCTTCGGAGCCAGTGGCACGCATCAGGGTAATTACTTAGATGGGGTACGACACGACAGAGGATGGTTAGAAAAAAATAATATGCGGAACGTCTTGAATGTGCGTTAGTGCTCTTATGTTCCATTTTCTTCTTACTTCCTGAATTTTATCCGTGGAAATACTTATAAGACAATGATTAATCAAAACTTGGAATTTTAGTACATTAACACGCTCTATATCAAGTACTGTACCGTCGTATACAGGATGATCCATTAACAATGGGAAATCTGAAAGCTGAAGATACTATATAGGGTGTCCCAGTGTCAGCGTACAAATTTACCAGGGAGTAGACCAGACCAAAATAAAGTTAAAATTCTTATAAAATATTTTTCTCTATTTTAAAAAATAATAATAACTTTCCGCAATAACACAAAAGCCCTTTCAGGGATTTAACTAATTTTTGGGTGGAGTGTATTAAAGTGTATTATTAAATCGTCTCTCGTGTTACTGCTTTGGCATACACCAGTTGCTTCATATGACCCCAGTAAAGAATCAAGAGGGTTGAGGTCAGGGAACCTAAAGGCCACATAATAGGTCCATTTTTCCCAATCCAGTGTTCTGGAAAATGTAAATCGAGCCACGCAGATACATGTCTTCCGTTACGAGTAGGTGCTTGTTGGTAGTACATTTGATTTTGCAAAGCTAAGGAACGTCATCTATACTCAATTTTTAAACTAAGAGGAGCGTTTTGAATATTGCGCGCCAAAATGGTGGTTTCTTATTGGTTAATTTCGAGCCCACTTTACACTGCTAATAAATTTTACATTTTGACATTTGTTGTCATTTTGCCTCTTAGTTATCATCAGTTCGTTGTCATTGTGTTTTTACCTGCTTTTCTTTCTATTTATTATCCCAGTTACGTATAAATCAGTTCTTATCAGAACTAAACAACTTATTATATTGTTTATCATCCGTTTTTTCCAATTTTCCATTGGATATGGATGATGCTGTGCCGACCACGAGTAAGGCAGGCGCGGGAATTACATCGCCGTCGCCCCCAAGGAAACGAAAACAACTCAGTTTGGGGCATTTGTCTCTGGCAGAAAAGCAAGCAATATTGAATTTGTACAAGAAAAGCCTAGATGATGAACCTACTCTTAAAACTGTCCAACTTGTATCCAAAATAGCGATGACATTAGGTAAATTTATGTTAACATTATTCTGTTGAACTATATTACACATTATACTTTTTTAGGTGTTGCAAAATCAACAGTATATCGAGCCATAAAACAGTATAAATCTACTGGAAGGGTGTCTACTTCCAAACACTGTGGTGGAAGACCTGGGATTGTTACATGTTTGGATGAAGCAATGAAGAATTCCATAAGGCGTATAGTACACAGCTTTTTCTTTAAAAATGAGATCCCCACTTTGGACAAAATATTAACCGAAATAAAAAGTCGTCAGGATTTGCCACAGATGTCCCGTTCATCATTATACAAATTTATGAAACAAATTAATTTCAAGTAAGGTTGAAGACATATCTCGGAGCAAGTATAATTGCAATAAAAACATTTTATTTTTTTTGCAGATACTTAAAACGAAGTCGTAAAAGTGTGTTGATAGAACGTGATGATATAGTGAGATGGAGACTTGACTACTTGATATCAATTAAAAAGTTTAGATCTGAAGGTAGACCTATTTATTATTTAGATGAAACATGGTTAAATGAAGGTCATACAAAAGAAAGGGTATGGGTTGATACTAATATTAAAAGCAAACGTGAGGCGTTCAATGAAGGGCTGTCTACGGGATTAAAAAATCCGTCCGGTAAAGGAAAGCGTCTTATTATCTTACACGCTGGCTCAGAGGAAGGATTCGTTGAAGACTCGTTATTGGTTTTCGAAGGCAAAAAGAGTGGGGATTATCACGAGGAAATGAATGCAAATGTATTTGAAAAGTGGTTTTCTGAATTTTTGAAAAAAATACCAGATAATTCTGTTATTGTAATGGACAATGCATCATACCATAGTCGAAAAGTAGAAGCTATTCCGACAACATCAACAAGAAAAATTGATATGAAGGCATGGCTGCAATAAAAAAATATCGAATTTGAAGAAGGTATGGTGAGATCGCAATTATTATATTTAATTCGCCAAAATAAAGATAAATATAATTTGTATATAACTGACGAAATGGCAAAAAAAGAAAATAAAGTTGTGTTACGATTACCGCCATATCATTGTGAATTAAACCCTATAGAATTGATTTGGGCACAGGTGAAGAATGAAGTGGCAAGCAAAAATAAAACATATAAATTGAAGGACGTAAGGGAACTACTAATAGAGGCTCTTAATAATGTTACAAATATGAACTGGAAAAAATGTGTAGAACATGTGATTAAGGAGGAAGAAAAAATGGGAACACTTGACGGAATTATGGACGATCTCATTGAACCTTTAATTATATCAATTAATAATAGCGAGAGCGATATGGATACTGACTCGTCGAATAATTCAGAAAATTGTTAAAGACATGATTTGTCCCTAATTTTTACCAATAATATTATAAATTATAAAAACTTATTTTGTTACTTTGAACACCTGCAGATGATATATTACGAACGTAGTTCAGTTATCAGTTATTTGGCAATTATCCGGTAACTTAATAAACGTAGTTCGTAGAAATGCAACAATTCAAAGTAACAAAAACACCATTATATAATTACTCCAATGCTAGATGTAAAAATGTGAATCAATAAAATTGTTTTTAAAAAGTGAAAACTGGAATCATTTATATATGTTTGGTTCGTAGTATATTATTTCATTCATATTCAGTTTTTCAATGTTATGTAGGAAGTACCTCCTATTTTAAAAAAATATATATAAAAGTTAAATAAACCTAGAATTAGATATTTATTCATTGCACATTATTTTGAATAGGTACTTAATAACCTCATTTAAAAGTAATGAAAGCTTATTGTACTCAAAATGAGGTTAAACACTTGCAGTGAGTATATACTTGATAGTCTGATGCCACAGAAGTTTTATCCAGTTTTATCTTCTGTGCTGATGCTATCTGGGGTAGTTTTTAGTAACTTTTGCAGTGTAAATTTGTCTTTGGCATTCACTCCTTTTAGTTTAAAAATAGAGTATAGTACGCCATATTTTCTAAAAAATCCGTGTAGGTGTCTCTCTGAATTCAAACGGTCTACAATAATTTGACGAGGTAGAATGACTCCGTTGAAGATTCCTCCCCAGACATTGGAGAATCCTCTTTGAAATGCGGACGGTCATATCACATGCGGATTTTCAATGGATCAGACATGAAAATTTTTTAAATTATTTATAGCATTTCTCGTTAAGATAGTTTCATCGCTGCACAATATCTTTTGATGGAAATTTTCGTCATTATCGATATTTTTTAACAACCAGCAAAATTGTATTCTTTTTTCGGAATCATTAGGATACAAAATTAGGTGGTATGGGTGAAGTTCTTCTCGGTTTAAAATTCTCCAGACGCTGTTTCGTGGAATACCTACTTGCGTTGATATTCTTCGTATACTGATGGAAGGATCATCAACAACAGTAGCTATTACATTTTCTTCTAAAATGCTTGCAAAAATTAAAATCGGACACCTCCAACGCATCCACAGGTTTTGCAAAATAGTGCACCAAAAGATTCAAATTGCAATTGTACCAAAACTAATGGTTCGACAGCGCCTGCTTTGTGCACACTTAAGGTACATACGAGGGTGGTCTGAAAAGTTTCC